TGTTTGTGTCTCCCCTCAATAGAGGGCACCTCTGATGTCACTCTCTCCACTGTTTGTGTCTTCCCTGACTAGAGGTCACCTCTGATGTCACTCTCTCCACTGTTTGTGTCTTACCTCAATAGAGGGCACCTCTAATGTCACTCTCTCCACTGTTTGTGTCTTCCCTCACTAGAGGGCACCTCTAATGTCACTCTCTCCATTGTTTGTGTCTTACCTCACTAGAGGGCACCTCTGACGTCACTCTCTCCATTGTTTGTGTCTCCCCTCAATAGAGGGCACCTCTAATGTCGCTCTCTCCACTGTTTGTGTCTTACCTCACTAGAGGGCACCTCTAATGTCGCTCTCTCCACTGTTTGTGTCTTACCTCACTAGAGGGCACCTCTAATGTCACTCTCTCCATTGTTTGTGTGTTCCCTCAATAGAGGGCACCTCTAATGTCACTCTCTCCAATGTTTGTGTCTTCCCTCACTAGAGGGCACCTCTAATGTCGCTCTCTCTCCATTGTTTGTGTCTTCCCTCACTAGAGGGCACCTCTAATGTCGCTCTCTCCAGTGTTTGTGTCTCCCCTCAATAGAGGGCACCTCTAATGTCGCTCTCTCTCCATTGTTTGTGTCTCCCCTCAATAGAGGGCACCTCTAATGTCACTCTCTCCATTGTTTGTGTCTCCCCTCAATAGAGGGCACCTCTAATGTCGCTCTCTCCACTGTTTGTGTCTTCCCTCAATAGAGGGCACCTCTAATGTCACTCTCTCCATTGTTTGTGTGTTCCCTCAATAGAGGGCACCTCTAATGTCACTCTCTCCATTGTTTGTGTCTTCCCTCACTAGAGGGCACCTCTGACGTCGTTCTGTCCACTGTTTGTGTGTTCCCTCAATAGAGGGCACCTCTAATGTCGCTCTCTCCATTGTTTGTGTCTTCCCTCACTAGAGGGCACCTCTGACGTCGCTCTCTCCGTTGTTTGTGTGTTCCCTCACTAGAGGGCACCTCTGATGTCACTCTCTCCACGGTTTGTGTCTTCCCTCACTAGAGGGCGTATCTAACATCGCTATCTCTTTTCTCTGTGTAGGAGAGGAGGCGCGGAACCCTCAGCGGGCGATCCCGATCAGCATCTGTCTGTCGCTGCTCTTTTGTTTCGCCGCCTACTTTGGCATCTCGAGCGTTCTCACGCTCATGGCGCCCTACTACGCGCTCAACGGCGATGCGCCGCTGCCGTTTGTCTTCGACCGCGTCGGCTGGGGCGTCGCGAAATACGTGATCACCGTCGGCGCCGTCTGCGGGCTCTCCACGAGGTAGGTGGCGCTGGCGTGCCGCAGTGTAGTCACGATGTAGATGGCGCCGGTGTGATGCAGTGTGGTAGCGATGTAGGTGGCGCCAGTGTGCCGCAGCGTAGTCACGATATACGTTAACGACGACATCGATGCTGCAGTAGTAGTAGATGCTGCAGTAGTAGTAGATGCTGCAGTAGTAGTAGATGCTGCAGTAGTAGTAGATGCTGCAGTAGT